TAGCTAAGTAAAGTTTATAAACTTAAATAAAAAATACTTTATAATTAACTATATTTTACTTAGTATATTCTACTAAGTAAGATATAGTATATTATTCTTATTAATAATATAATAATAGTACTTATTTGCAAAGTATATAGTAGAGAGAGAGTTGTAGAATATTTATTTGTTTTATTTGTACTATACATCTTTTCATACTAAATTAATCCTAAACTATTCTAGAAACAATTCACTTGGAAATAGCACCTAACTACCTACTAGAACTACTACCCTTAGAGGGAGTAGGTAAACGCTTAGAAGGAAAGTACAAGAAGAACTAGCAAGATTTGCACTTGTTCTCTTTATCCTAGAAGAAGGTACAATCTAAATCTATTAGAAATAATCCTAAATTGTTCTAGAAATAATCTAAATAAAACTTACCTTAAACATAGTCTATATCTAGGCTATTAATATTGCACGCCTAGCAGGGGAGCTTATCTTCAGGCTAATTATTATAGTAGTCTCTAACTATATTAGTTATAGTAGTAAAGTTAAGCTGTAAAAGTTAGAAACAATTTAGAAACATTTAAGAAATAATTTACCTATTCTCCCTCTAAATTATTAATCTAGACAATGTCCTAGAGAGGGTGTTCCTAGTCTTTCTAGTCTTTCTTCTCTTCCTTATTATCTAGTGCAGCAGCAGGGTTCTTAAAATTATTATAGTCTAAATTGTTTGCTAATTAATCTAACTTATAGTCTAAATCGTTTAACAAATAATCTAACTTAGATTTGTTATTAGATCCCTACTAGGCAGGAGCCTGCATAGGCGCAGAGTTAGCAGAAGAGGCAAGAGAGTTAGCAGAGGAGATAGCAGAAAGGCCGGCAATAGCGTTGTAAGTAGCTATAATCTAAACATAGAAACCTAGGTAGAATTAATCAAGAATTAATTAAGAAACAATTTAAATAAACTTACGCATCTTAGCTTAGATCTAGGCGTTAGTAGGATTTCTAACTTGCCTAGCAAACGCTATTCTTAGCTAGTAAGCTCAGCGTAGATAGTTTCTAAGCGCAGCGCGACTTGTGTACTTCTGCTAGAAGAAATGTTAGAAATAATTAAGAAACAATCTAGGAACAATTTATACTCTATAAAGAATTCCGCCTTAGATTCTAATACAGCAGTATAGCTAATCTATGCAGACAATAGGTTTACCCTGCGCGTTAGTAGAAAAAGGCGGGCACCTAAATAGGTGTTAGTTAAGCTAGAGAAATTGCTTATAAGCGGGCTAAATTTGTTAGAATTATTTGTAGATTAATCTAGAAATAGTTTATACGTTTCCTTAGAGTACACTCTAGATTTAGTAGGCTATTATAGGTAGCGTAGTTTAGTAGAGGGGTTTAGTAGAGTTATGTTGTTATTGTTTAGGTAGGATTGTTCCTAGAATAATCTGTAATTAATCCGCTAAGGCGCTACCTTAGCGTGCGCATTAACTGCGCATAGATGCCTTAGCATGCCATGTCTCGGCGCGCCCTTAGTTAGATGGCCTGCGTCCTGGTCTCCTCTTCGCGCTAACCGTTAACGTCATCCCAAGTTTTCCACGAGCGGGCATCGCCAATAGCGTATGATTCATCTGTCAATCCGCATCCATACATCAATTAATATCACCCGCAATCCAACATGTCCATTTCCAACCTCCAAGACAAAGTCGCGATAGTGACCGGTTGCAGCTCCGGTATCGGCCTAGCAACAACGCGTCTGTTCCTCGAGCGCGGCGCCTCAGTTTTCGGCATAGACATTGGCGCACAGCCGCAAAAGCTCGCGGAAGATTATTCGACATTCACATTCTACCAGACTGATCTCACCGAATCTCAAGCTGCGGAACATGCAGTGGCAAAGTGCGTTGGCAAGCACAACCGCATTGATGTGTTGGTCAACTGCGCGGGCGTGAGCGATGGCTGGAGTAGTGCGGACACGATTCACGAGGAAGAGTGGGAGAGGGTGATGTCGATCAACCTGACGGTACCAATTCGCATGATGAAGGCGGTTCTGCCGGCGATGAAGGAGCAGAAGGGTGGTGCGATTGTCAACGTGGGTAGCAAAGCGGGGACTTCGGGGGCGAGTGCGGGAATCGCGTATACTGCTAGCAAACACGGTCTGGTAAGGAACGCTCCTTCTCAACTGATGATTTGTCCATGCTGACGATTGATAGGTCGGTGCTACGAAGAATGTGGCTTGGCGCTTCCACAAGGAAGGCATCCGGTGCAATGGTGTGCTGCCCGGCGGTGTTGCGACCAACATCGCTTCGTCGGTCCAGATGGAGCACTTCGATTCTGCTGGCTTCAACGCGTTCTTGTAAGTTCTGATGGGCTTCACCTGCACGTTTCGGCCTTTGCTTACTCATACAGTCCCATCGTGCAAATGCACGTATCGAAAGACAGTGAGGGTACACCGGTTCCCTACATCGGGGTAGACAACGTCGCCCGTGGCATTGCTTTCCTCGCTTCAGAAGAGTCAACCATGATCAACGGCGCAATGCTACCGATCGATAATGCCTGGTCCACCATATAGCATAGCATCGCTTCGGTAAAGAAATAGTAACATTGGGAGCACGTACATTACTTCGATGACGACTTGTGTACCCATGGACACGGTTATCTATAGTGTAAAAGATGTGTTCAGATTCGTTTCTTACGGTGATAGACGCAGGCTAGTCTGCTACTCAGGTTGCCTTAGGTACATCGCTTCCCCAAGGGTAAGCCTCAGGCATAGCCTTCCACGTCTTCAAATCGTCATAATTCCGCGTCGTGCTCTTATTCTGCAGTACCTTTTGCACAAAAGGCAAAATATCCGCGTACCCACTCATGTCGCAGTGTCCACCAGAAGGTATACTCATACCCAGCTTCTCGCCCACGCCTAGCCAATTGTACACGACCTTGGCCGCAGGGAAGGTGACCTGAGCGGTCCCTTTGGAGTCTGTGAACTGATCGTTCACGTTCTGAGAGAGGATGACTGCGCGTGGGGCGATGGCTGCAACGATCGTGTGGGCGTCATAAGGGAGCTGGGAGGATTTGCCGACGAACTGCGAGATACCTGAGGAAGTCCACCATCCTGCTCCAGATTTCTAGGTAGTCGTCAGTGCGCATATTTCAAAAGATCGTGGAGTCTTCGATGAGACCTAGTGCTTACAGCGTTTTCTAGGTTCTCTCCTTGCCCACTCAAGCTGTATCGGTAGGGCCCCGCACCCTGAACGCCAGAGCACATGGGCATAGTGACGGCGATGCGCGTGTCAAATAGCCCAGCAGCCAAAGCAGCTTTGCCCAGACGAGAGCAACCAGTGACGCCAGATTTGGTTGCATCGATCTCTGGAACCTTGAGTTCAATGCCGTCAAGAACGCGATGGAAGCCCCACGCCCATGCAGTGAGTACTCCTGTTGGCTGTAAGTATGCATGAAGCAAACGGCAAGGTCTACTTACCAATGTCTTTACCACTATACAGCGTCCAGAACGAGCCAGTCTTACTGTTACTGTCTGCGGCGACTTTGGTATAATCGAATGTGACTACCGCTATCCCCGCGTTTACATAGCTCTTGGTGTCCATCCCGCCGATCGAGATGACCACTGGGAACGGCTCACTCCCACTCGGCAAGTTCAACGAAGCTGCGATGCTAGCGGTCTTCCCTCCTGCGGTGACAGTCACGGTCAAGGTGTTGCCATTTCGAGTTGCGGTGACAGTCTCTTGCGAGTGGTCAGGGTAATACCCGTATTGGTATTCCTGGAGGAGCTTGAGTATCTCGGGTTGACGGCATTGGTTCCATTCGTCTTTGCTTTGAACACGTGTCTTGCCATCGAGGTACAGAAATGGGTCTGGCATCGTCTTTACGGAGGGGAATGCCGCCGCTTTAGGCATGGGGCTCGGCGTTGCTGGACATGTCACATTGATCTGGCGAGGAAGGATTTCCCCAAGGCGCTCGGGGCTGTGTCCCAGCGGTGTGCCACCAGTGGTAACAACCAAGGTAAAGATCGCAAATGAAGTGGTGCGCATTTCATTGGCTGGTATCGATAAGATGAGATAGGATGATACAAGTTGTCAATTGGCAAGAAGGGGAAGCTACCAAAGGAAGTTGGAACTGTTATGTATCCTCCCGGACGAAGGGTTACATGTCGAACTGGTGTAAGTCAGTATCATGTGGTCAACCTACTGCCCGTAAGTAATATAAAAATCTGGTTCCTATATCTGTTGTCTATTGTCTTTGTGCATGGTGGATAGGTCAGACGGCGTGATGTATCAAGCTCCTTGTGGGGCTGTCATATAGCCATATCGACGGATAAAATCCACACATCGCAGCAGTGGGCGAAGCATCGCACATGAGATAACGCGAGATTCGCGCTTTCGGAATAATTCATTCCGAGGCGATGGGGATGAACGGGCTCGTTGAGGTGACTGCCAGTGTTGTAGTCGGTGCCGTGCCCAGGTGCCAATCCTACCCTCGCACGTGACAGCGCGACAACGCGCGCGCTTTTTGAGACGCTGACACAGAATGAGCTGCAAAATAGTACCGCCGTTTAGTAGGGTTCCATGTGTCAGGCCCCTTTGATGGCCATCAGAGTCGATTTGGAGTGAGTGAGTGTGAGGTTGCATCGGCGATCATGATAAGCCACGAGGTCCAAGCTCCCCTCAGTGCGGGGAGCGACATGCCGCTCATCTAGGCATCCTCATGTCAAACTCTATCATGTAGTTCTCCCAGCTCACCGCCGAAATGGTGCCGCTGTCTTCTTTTCTGCTAGTTGCTTTGGCCAGTGCCAAATGCTTCGAACCTACCATCGCGCATCCGCCGCCTCGGTACAATGTTGACGATCCTCTACCTCAAGACGCGTTCGAGTCTATCGCCACGGCACTCACAGCAGCCGTCGCAGCGCCGGAGTTCGACCGAACCTCCTTCTCTGTAGAGATAACCTCGTCGAAAGACACGTTATGGTCGCATCATCATACGGCACGCGAACGTAATGCCTCGCGCCCAGATATCCCCGAAGTCAACGGCGACGCGCTGTACCGCATCGCTAGCATCACCAAGACCTTCACCGTACTCGGTATACTGTATCAGCATGCAGCAGGCAACTTGAGCTTGGATGCTACAGTGAATACATACCTCAATGAATTAGGAGAAAAGTCGAACGGCGGCATTCCATGGAAAGACATTACATTGCGCAGTCTGGCTAGCCAGCTGAGCGGCCTTCCCCGCGAATGTAAGATGCCTTCTGGAAAGAAGCAGAATCCGTTCGGAGTGTGCCACACAGAAGAAGGTACGCGTGCTAATTTCTTTAACAGGGGCTCAAGGTGATCTCATCAATAACAACTATCCTGAGTTGGATCCAAGCTCCCTGGGTCTGCCTCCTGATGTGTCACGGGAAGGGTTGCCCAACTGTGACGAGTACTCACCAAATTATGAGACACCCTGCACAGCGAAAGGTTCGCGTCTCACTAATTGAGTGTGAGAGAAGAGTGTTAATCTGATTGTGCGTAGATATGTTTCGACAGCTCAAAAAGTTCGCACCGTTATTCGCGCCAAACCAAGAATCGTCTTATTCCAATGTCGCGTTCGAACTGCTTGGTCTCGTTCTCTCGCGGGTGACAAACCAGACCTACGAGACCTACATCGATGAAGCCATCTTCAAGCCCTTGAACATGTCTACCAGCACTCTCTCCAAGCCTGCTGATTCTGCTGGCGTCATTCCAGCTGGTCCACAATTCTGGGGTGTGGACGAAGGCATCCAAAATCCTACCGGTGGCATCTACAGTTCGTCGAGCGACCTGTCGAAATACCTCCGCTACGTCCTAACCCACTACAACGCCATCACCCACGCGATCAATTGGCTACATCCCGTCTCTTCGTCTCGCGGATTGAACTCCTTCTATGGCATGCCGTGGGAGATCTACCAAACAGACCGCATATTTGAGCAGTCGAAACGTACTGTACGCTTTGTCACTAAGAGTGGAGGGTTGCCGGGCTATACCTCCATCATCATGACAGTGCCTGAGTACGACTTGGGGATCACTATTCTAGTCGCGGGCCCTAACGCGATCTTGTCTAAGATCATGGACATTGTTCCCGTAAAGATAGTGCAAACAGCCGAAAAGCTTGCCATACAGCAAATGCGTAATCGCTATGCGGGCACCTACAGCACTTCAGATCCAGAAGTGAACTCTACAGCCACATTGAAAGCTGATTACCGCGGTCTTGTTGTTACAACCTTTGTTTCTAACGGGACGGTTGTCTTCGAAGCCCCGATCACGAAAGACGTGACGAATTCGCCCCGTTATGCGCAGCTTAGCCCAACGCTTCTCTATCGCAACGAGGAAGAACAGAAGGGGGAGGAGTGGCGTGCATTGATCTTCGAGGAGCGCGCAGAAGGCCTGGGCTCTATTTGGGACGACTTCTGCGTGGAGGACTGGGAAATGTCCAGTTACGCCGGCATACCTTTGAACACAGCGGTGTTCTGGGACGAGCAAAAAGACGGTCATTTCGAAACACTAGAGCTACCGGCTTTCCGCGTGAATCTCACAAGAGTGGATCAGAAGAGGGGGTCGAATAGGAAGTATGGTCAACAAGAAACGATGGAGCTCTAAGGCTCCACATTGCAGACCGGCAGGGCGGCTTGCGGTCATCCTCTCCACCACGTGAATCATGGCCGAACGACGAATCTATAAGTCGCTGCAGCTATTACAGATCACTTGAGCATATACCACATTCCCTTAGAATCGCTGCAGAACGAAGGATTCGCCAAAACTCGCCAATCTTTCTGTCCACGGCGCTTGCATCTGCCGTGTCCAAAGAACATTCGGTTTTATCACAGCGACCATGGGTGACTGACTAGCCTAGTGTTTCCGAGCTTTATTAAAGACCGTGCTAGACTAGATCTGCATGCGGAGCTAAACTCTAAAACTCACATGCAGGGCCGAACCACGTTTTCGCAAAGACGATTGCCATTACTTGGGAGCGGTGGAATACCGTTCTTCACCGGGTTCAGGTACCTCCGATGATCGACGCTGCTGGTGTTGGAACTGTTCGAGGGCTTGTCCACTAGCGAAGCCTTATAACTACATACACTAGGCAAGCCTTGTGGCAATTGGTAGAACGCCAGAATGATTGCCACGTCAAACGCCGATCAGGTTCGCATCATGTTCACCTCCTCGTGATGCCTAACAGGCCGACATTTAGTATTGTGAGAACAAGGGTGCTCACACAGCTACCAACCCCGATAATCTCGCTTGAGCGCGTCATACATATCTTGGCACAATCTTCCTCACTCACAGACGTCGTACCTCATACACAAAGTATGTGAGTTTTCGACACGTTCAACGTGTGAAGCCAGCAAAGGCAAAAGCCAGACATCGGAGGGTTTGTCGCTCGTTGGGCTCAAGATCCACGTGGAATTCGCCGTAGCAGCGGCACAGCAACGAACTAAAGTCAGGGCACCGTCTAGCTCATAGACTGCCGATTGCGGCCGAGCACGTTTTGTGTGGCGCGCCTTGTGGAAGACACTCCGTGACGAGGATGGCAGCTGCACTACGTGGTGCTTGTAACATGCTAACGGTGCTTTGATGTTCGGGAGGCTAGGATTTTGACGTCCATTGCCGCCTCTGCGTAACCTGTACCTGCCGTGTATAAGCCCCTGTTCTTATCCTGGCTCATATGGCTTTTTGTTTTACCCTGTTTGATCCGCAATCCGTCGCTTAACATAATTCTCCTTCCTCTTTTGTTTTCTCGCGCAGGGCTTCTCGTACGGCGTTGTCTCGATACGTACTGTCGGAAACAATCTGGGGTACAGCCTCGTCACATGCGGCTTCCGACATGAAGTTTCTCTCCGCATTACTGTTCCTTGCCTTTGCGCCTTTTTCGTTTGCGCAAAGTCAGAGCGGGAACGATGTGCTTGCGTCTGCAGTCAAGAATCTGCCTCCATGCGCGGTATGTAAACCATCTCGATTTACGAGACTCCATACTGATTTCGGTCATATAGTTAGATTGCACACTCACAATCATCTCGTCATCAACATGCCAGCTCACAGATATCGACTGCATCAAAGGCAACGAGAAGCTTCTCGATGACTTGAGCAAATGTGTCTTGGCTAGCTGTAAGCCAAAAGAAGCACTGAGTAGGTCCTCTTTTATGTTCACTCGTCGAACTTCCTGCTAATTGCCTGTGCAGCGGCGAAGAGGTTTCTTACTGAGTTGATGGATGCGCCCATTCGCAACAAGACGAAACAAGGCACAGTCACTACAATAGTCTTTGGAGTACTATCCTTGGGAGCCTACATTCTACGCGTAATTGCACGCCTTCCCTGGTTCGGCGGAAACTGGGGCATCGACGATTGGGTTATGACTGCGGCCATCATACTCATCATTCCGCTCACGATATGCGCGTACCTTCTGAACCTTTTGGGGTTGGGTACGGATATGTGGATGGTGTCTTTTGAGAACATCACCAAGATTCTCGAGGTATGTGACCAGTTCTGCAAGTTCCAAGATCCTGCGCTAACAAATCTTTCATGATAGATCTTCTACTACACAGAGCTTCTCTACCTCGCGTCAATCGCATTGACCAAGATAGCAGTCTTGCTCTTCTACCTTCGCATCTTCCCTCACCAGGGCCTCCGACGCGTTATCCACGTTACCATCGTAATCTGCATCATGTACATCATCGCATTCGTCACAGCAACCGCGCTGCAATGTATTCCGATACGCATTGCGTGGGAACACTGGGACGGCGAGCATCACGGAAAATGCATCAACCTCAATGCCGATGCCTGGGCTTCTGCCGCGGTCAACATCCTTCTCGATCTTGTCGTCATTATTATACCTATGAGAGAACTCAGCAAGCTTGCCATGACCCGTCGACGCAAGTTTGGCATCATGTGCATGTTCCTCGGTGGAGGCTTGTAAGTTCATTTCCCACATCTCAATCTCGTATCTACTAACACCTCCTCAGCGTCACCATCGTCAGCATCCTCCGCCTCAAATACATGATCCAGTTCGCGCAAACCACCAACGTAACCTGGGACTATCTACCCATCGGATACTGGTCCGCCATCGAAGCCCACGTCGGCGCCATCGTCGCCTGCGCACCCGCAATTCGCCAACTACAACGTTCCATCCGCGAACGCATCTGGCCCAAACAGAAGACACCAAGCCAATACTACTACGCCGAGAACTCAGGCAACAGCAGCAAGAAGAACAACGGCAGCAAAGACCTCAAGTCGCGCATCTGGCTACCGAAGACCGATCGCTCTCAACTGAGCACTCTGGGCCGGAGTAAGATGGACAAAGACGACTTCGTCCGCCTAGACGAATACGAAATGGGCGTTGGCATGGGCGGAAAGGACGGCGTCCTTACAGATAGGAATTCGCCGGAAAATTCCTCAGAAGGGTCGCTGGATCGGTCGTTCAAGTCTAATGAGGATGTGCAGCCGTTGGCCGATGTTGCAGCGCCGGCGCCGGTGGTTGGCTCCCCAATGGGAGGTATTATGGTGCAGTCGGAGTACAGTGTTGATCGGGGGAGCTCGCATCCGAGTTTGCAGGCTTTACCACCGATTCAGCATAAGAAGGAGAAGTCGTTGGATGCGAGAAGATGGCTTTGAAGGGCCATGGTGTAGTAAAGCGACTTTCTACGATCTATGAACTTTGGCATATACCCAATAATACATTTTAATGCATCATAGTACGACTTTCAACCCTCAATGTGCTATAGCCCTCGTACAATGTTCTCGCGCTTTGCGCACCCCTCAAAAGGCGCTCTACCAACACAGAAGCATCTTCAATCGGTCACCACACCACAGCTCACCAAGCCGCAAACCCGCCGCACCCCCAAACAGCCGCACCCACCTATCGAAAAGTCGCAAATACCATACTCCTAGCCAAGCAGAAAAGCCAAGCCTGCCAACCTCATGACAACAGCCAACGACTCAAGCCCCAGCGCAGCGGCCTGACGCGTGCCGGCACGCCTCGCCCACTTGCCGCGCCAACAACAGCAACCAGGAAAACAAGGCAGCTACGGCGGTTCTTGAATCGTGACATTGCGCCAGCGTAGGAAGTTAGGGTGGGGTGGGTCGCAAGACCCGCACCGGCTCGGTAGATCAGGCCCCACTGTGTGAGGCTAAGGGAGGTGCAGGGAGGGGGTTGGTGGCTCGGTGGAGGCTCGGGATAGTTGTGATCTTTAGGGGTGAATTCAGTCGTGTAGCGTTGAAGGTGTAGCCAACTAACCAGGGATAAGCTGTTGTGTTATGTATCTGTGGCTCATGTCTAGTTGTTGTGGTGACCTGAATCACGGAGCTTTTCACGAATATTCTGCCTGAACGGTTTCCTGTAAACCATCCACGTACTCCTTGGATCGATACATGCAATTGGGAACTCTGCGCTTTTCTTACAAAGTACTTACAAAGTAAGAGCTTAAATGGAGGGGTAAAAGGAATTATAATTGCATTGCTAACGAGAGTTCGTATGCTAAAGAAATGACATCTGTACGCAATGTGGAATATACACCCAGATCTACTGACACATTGATGGGGCATGTTTACAAACTACTCTCGGGTGACTTCTCTCCATCTACCTTCCTTTCATCCTTCTTCCTCTCATGCTCGTCCCAGAAGTAGAAGATGAACAAGACAATGCCACTAATCGGCACGGCGATTACGAAGAACAGCCAGACATTGCGACTTGCGTCGTCGAATGGAACGTTTCCTGCAATGCCATTAAAGAAATTCATGCCGAAGAATGAGGACACAAACGTTGCTGGTAGGAAGGCGATGGTGACCCAAGCAATACCGCGCATGGTACGGCTATCCTTCTTGGTTTCTTTGGCGATCCTTATACTTTCTTTCAGAAGCTTTTCTTCGTCTGCAGCTCGTCGGTCTGCATCTGCAGCTCGTCGGTCTGCCTCTTCAGCTCGTCGGTCTGCCTCTTCAGCTCGTCGTTCTGCCTCTGTAGCTCGTCTTTCTTCCTGTACATGCCGAGCATCTTCCCGCCTCTGACGTTCTTCTTCCCACTTCTGTCGCATCTCTTCTTTCACATCAGCAGCATGAAGCCTTAGCTCTGCGATACGTTCCTTGAGTTTTTGTGGTGAGCATAATTCCATGTTCTCTTTTGCCACCTGCAATCGGTGCAGGTATCTATCACTTTTTCGGGATTCCACAGCATCTCGTACCCGCATCATGGCGTTGTTGACGAAATGGAACTGGTGATCTTCGTTGTTTGGAGCTCTGATCCTGTTGCTGACAGTGTTAAGCTCGTGGAGTATATCACTGAGACTGCAATCGCTCCTCGACCCTAACATCTTCGCTACATGGTTGACCTGAGCGTCGAATTTCTCTGCTTGTTCGGTGATGGCTTCCATGTATGATAGTAAAGTCAAGAAGGTCCAGGCAAGGAAGGCGTCGTCGTCTCCAATTAAGGCTTGTTTGATTTTCTCCGTCTCGCTGTCCGTTTCGCTGTCCGTCTCGAACGAATTATAATTATCAATAAACTCGAAGTAACGATTTCCCATTCCATGAATAAGGACCCCCCGGCGTTTTGCTGATGGGGAACGCTTCATTATTTTCGGCCAGGAGAGCAAGAAATGTGGCGTAGATCGACCAGGCGTTTCCAGTAGTGTGTAATCGGCATCCATCCGAACATCTTGTGAACGCCAAGGCAATGAAGATTCAATCTTTTCCTCAATCAGCCGAGCAGCCCTTTCGTCCTTTATCGATACACAGAGAAAGTACAGGCCGTCGTCATTGTCGCCTTCATCACTGCTATCATCGTCGAAAAACCGTTCAACTTCTGTCCAACTGTCGAAGCGACCTGTTGCATGCCCTGAAAAGAACCCATCACGTTCGGATTCGTATGTATATCCGCGGGCGTTTTCGAAGAACTCCTTCTCTGCTTCTTTGAAGTTAATTGCCGCCTGGTCCCCGGCTTCAGCCATATTCGTCAAGTGATGGCAGAAGATGGAAGAGAAAGGAAAAGCAGAAGGCGGCAACGCGGCTGAGGCAGCTAGACATACTCTACTGACAGCTCAGCTGCCAAGAATATGTATATGCAGCCTCGAGCCTGTGCATGACAGATACGGCGATCGAAAAATGCCTCAGGTGAAAAGCGATTGGACAAACACGGTTGTGGAAGTTCGTGGGCGCTCGCCATGTCTGTGGGGGCCGATACTATAGGTTTATAGTTGTCCGTGGCGCTTGATTATCAGCTGAAGCAAGCAGATCGCGTACGGAAAGAGATGTGTAAGAGTGCTCCGCATATCTACAACTTCGCCTCAGCCTTGTGACCCCCTGCTACAGCAAGCAGAAAACGAGCAAAGTACGTCTCCAGCTTATACCCCGCATCTCCGTTCAATTCAACGACCGTGCCAACCCACCCATCGGGTCTCAGAACCACCACAGCCCCCTTCTCAGTCGCAACACCATAGCGCATATGCGCACTACAGTCCGCATCATAGAACACACGCCCAAATGGCATACCACCCAACGTCTCATACGCCGATGGTCCACCCGGACCTGCGATGATGGAAAGACATGATACTGGGACATCATCACTAAGCCAATGCAGTGCAGACATCGCAGCAGTGAAAGACGCCAAAGCATGTTTCGTGCGCGACACTTCCCCAGCAAACAGCGCAATATGAAACGTCGCCGTATTCGGCGTCTCATTCTGAAGTCGCGTAGCTTCAAAAGTCGCCGGTTTCTGCAGCGTAACATCTGGTGCGCGCTGACCAGGCTGTACGGACGATACACTCGAACTCTGCGTGAGGTTGAGATAGGAGTCTGGCTCGTAGTATATACCCAGTCCGCTACTAAACGTCGCTGCTTCGGCCATGACAACTCCCAGTACCTCATTCGGATCTGCGTTTGGATCGCCTGTCCAACCCTCGGGTAATTGCATTGTCATGAGGCGCGAGATGTCTTTGTCGTAATTGATCAATCGCTGTACGTTGGGGAGTCGCTCTGCTTCGTACGAGTGTAGCAGATCGGGGTTGGCGAGGCCTTGGAGCACGAGGGAAAGCTTCCAACCGAGGTTGACGGCATCATGCATGCCGGTATTCATGCCTTGTGCTGCACCCGAACTGTGCGTGTGGCATGCGTCGCCGGCGAGGAAGATGCAGTCATTCACGAAGAACGAGCGCGCAATGCGCTGCCCGACGACGTAGATGGTCCACCAATCCACCTGCTTGAACTTGAGGCTGAACGGCTTGACGGATGCGATGGCTTCCTTGACGGCGGCTTCTTCGTCAAACACCTTGTATGCTTTCTGACGCTCTGCCGTGAATGCAAAGCCAATGCGCGTTGCGCCTCGATCCAACGCGGCCCAGAGGACGTTTCCGTGTGTAGGTGACTCAATTGCGCAGTACGTTCGCGGTTTGGGGAGGTCGGTCTCGATAACGCCATCGACGCGTACCCACTTGTCTTCGCTGGAGGAGCCGTCGAAGGGGATCTTCATTGCTCGTCGTACGAAAGACCGCCCACCATCTGCGCCGACCAGATATCGACATCTGACTATGCTCTTCACCTTTGTCTCGCCATGTTCGATTGTAGCCAGTATGCGATATCCACCCATCTCAACCCCGTCTATGACCTCGATACCTACCAGGGTATACGGCGCATCGAGTTGTACCCCCTCCTTAGCCAACGCTTTCCTAAACACCTCTTCCTGGTACTTCTGACGTAGCACCAACGCGAAGTCCCATTTGGTATCCTTCATGTTCTCCATGAACGCCCAACCTCTTCCTTCGACCTCGTTGCCATGCTTATCGTAGTTGACAGTCTCACGACATGCGAAACATTGTTGGGCGAGGGCGTCGGCCAGGTCTAGCTGCGATAGCATCTCAGTAGTACGCGGAAAGAGGGTGATGGCACGTCCATAGTTGTCTTGGGACGACTTGGGATGTTGTTCTATGATCTTGATGCGATGCGTAGAGCGAGGGAGGTTGCGCGCGAGTTGGTAGGCGGTTACGAGGCCTGGGCATGAGTGTCAGCATCATGATGTGTGTAATGGAGTACGGGATTGTGTACCTACTGGTCCTCCACCTACCACAAGTACATCTACATTCTCTACCGGTAAATCTGAGGTCGTCATCTTCCCTAAAAAATGGGAATGTTCAGCTTGGGCGCATGACAAGCTCCCTCAATCATAGGTACGTCTCTGTTGGCAGGCTATTAGCCTCATGGGATCGATAGCTGCATCGGGGACGGCAAGCAAGAGCGGCGCCTCTGATAAGAGGACCGCGTGCCGTTAGTCATGCATGCCTGATGTAACATGATGGAGATACGCGCGATGTAAGTGCTGTCGCAAAGGAAGGTGGACGCAAGAATGGGGTGGGACGCGAGGTTCACAGGGGGCTGATAAGATAAGGATCAAGCCGCGGCAAACATCAAGTTGCAAGCCCAGCCGTTCGCTGAAGGCTACATCCCCAAATAAGTTCGGGTATACCAAAACGAATATACGCATTGCAAGCGATATCACACGCCACGATATGCTAAAACCCACTTAACGCGTCGACGATGAATCTGCGAGTCCAATTCCATAGCGCACGCGCATCACCACAACCCACACCTACAACGGCAACACCCACTCCCCCTCCCTCATCGGCTTCGCAAGACTACTCGTATCCCTCTTCGTGAACCTTCCATATCCCTTCTCTCCCAACAACCCCCCATTGTCCCTATCCCAAACCACCTTCCCTCTCAACAGCGTCCACCGCGGCCACTGCTTCAACTTCCTGCCCTCAAAAGGCGTGTAGTCAACATCATGATGTAGCATACTATTTGTCAGCTCAAACTCCTCCATTTTGCCATCCGGATACCAGATATTGATATCAGCATCCGACTCGCCCTCTATCAGCGCGCCTTTCTTCGGGTAGAGACCGTACAGCTTCGCAGGATTCGCAGATGTGACTTCGACGAATTTGGTGAGCTTGAGCCGGTTCGCGCTGAGGGTGAGTGAAAGGCGTGTTTCGATACCAGGGCAGCCGTTGGGAATGTATTTGAAGTGGCCTATAGGGTATTCCGCGCTGATGCTAGACTTCTTACCCGTCTCAGGGTCGTCATAGCGGAAGGGACAGTGGTCGGAAGAAAGGATTGTGAAAGTACCGTTTGCAAGACCCTCCCAGATGACATCGCAGTCTGCTTCGCTTTCGCGAGGGGGGGGCGAGCACACGCATTTCGCGCCTTCGAAACCAGGTTGATCGAGATCTAGCTTCGTGAGGAAGAGGTATTGTGGGCAGGTTTCCGCGTAGATGGGTAGACCGCGGTCTTGAGCTGCTTTGATGTGGGCGGCTGCTGCGGGCGTGGATACGTGGACGATGAGGATGGGAGTGTCCATGAACTCTGATAAGCTAATGGCACGGTAGGTGGCTTCTGTTTCTGCCATAGGAGGATGGGATGACCCGTGGTATTTCGGCGCGAATAGCTTCTTCTTCTCGAGTTGCGCGGTCATCCAATCGATTACTTGTCCGTTCTCGGCGTGGATCATGGTCGTTATGCCTTGCTTCCTGGCCTCGAGGAGGATGTCTAGGATCTGACCATCGTGTAGTTGAAGAGCCTCGTAGGTCATGTAGATCTTGAGTGAGGATATGCCTTCCTCCCGCAGGGTCTTGAACTCTGAAAGCGCCCTTTCTGAAGGGTTGCCGACGATTATATGGAATGAGTAGTCGATGTAGCAGTTGTCTTTCGCTCGTTCATGGGTGGCCACCAGAGTGTCGAGAAGAGTATCCTCAGTCTTCTTTTGTGGCGCAAAGGTCACCATGGTAGTGGTACCACCGCATACCGCCGATCGACTGCCAGTCTCGTAATTGTCTGCTGTTGAGCCATTCCCAAACAGTGGAGGTTCTTGGAGATGAACATGAGCGTCCACACCTCCAGGCATCACATAGCCGCCTTCAGCATCTATCGTCCTTGTCGCCTGTGCATCTTTTAGACCTCCTCTTGGAACTACCTTTGCAATCTTTTCGTCTTTGATAGCGATGTCCCACTCTTGAACTTCATTTTCGGACACTACCAACCCATTGATGATGATTAGATCGTACTCCATTGCAGCTTCGTTCAATCTTTTTCCGAGTAGAACAATAACACGAAATGTACTTCCCAGTCATACACGATCACGGGAGGATACATCTCAGCGGTTATCGTGGTAGTGGAAAGAAGGCTAGTCCAGGTTTGTGAGGTGCGTATCTCGACCCCTCTTTCGCGCTGCCCCACCTTCCTCCCGTCTTCGTTCTTATCAACCACGACGCCTATTCGCGTATAAACGCGCTCGAGAAATATGCAGATACACTGCACAGTCATTGAAATTGGTCATAGATGACGAAGACGCGCTTTTCGCAAGCGGACACGTCGAAACTAGTTTTCGCGACCTTGACGCGTCCACCCACTGTTCGTAACCCTCCAAGCCAGTCTTAGTACTACCAGAGCCTCCATCTGCATTAAAATGCCTTTCAAACGCTTCAAGATCAACGGCGACAGGCTGAACAGCACATTACAAGAAACATGCACCTCCTACGGCGCTCTCCCAGCGCCATCAACAGGCATGTGCCGCCTCACTTTAACCCCCTCCGACAAAGCGGCTCGAGACTGGCTAGTCAGCGAATGCAAGAGTCTGGGATGCGACATCAAAATTGATCAAATGGGAAACATATTCGCCATACGCCCAGGTACCGCTGGAAACAAAGCGCCAATTGGCATGGGTAGTCACATGGATACACAACCAGCAGGCGGGAGGTACGCGCACCAACACCCAAGCAAACATCATAATCACCAGAGCCTGATGGGAATATAGATACGACGGCATCCTAGGCGTTCAATCCGCCCTAGAAGTCCTCCGTACCCTGCACGAGAACAGCATCCAAACCTACCATCCCATCGCCTTGATAAACTGGACCAACGAAGAAGGCGCGCGTTTTCCCGGCGCAATGATGGCATCCGGTGTTTGGAGCACGCACAGTAGCACGGATCTATCTGCATGCCATGCTCTCCGCGATACCGACAAAATATCCATGGCAACTGCTTTACAGGAAACCGGATACCTTGGTCCAACGCCGTGCGATTACCGCGAGAACAATCTGTCCGCGCATTTCGAACTACACATCGAGCAAGGTCCGATTCTCGAGCGCGAACGAAAAGAGGTAGGCATCGTGACGAGTGTGCAAGGGATGAAATGGTTTGCTATTCGTGTCACGGGCCGAGAAGGGCATTCAGGCACAACGCCCATGGAAGGAAGAGCAGATGCTTTAGTAACAGCTGCACGGCTCATCACTGCTGTAAGAGATACCGCTGTGCAGACTGGTCTGGGTGTAGCTACCGTGGGTGTTATCAGCAGTGACACAAGTTCACAAGCCACTATACCCGCTGGCGTAGGATTTGTGGTGGATGTCAGATGCGATACCGATGACCTCGTCGATCAGCTTTCCGAATCCATCTTACGCGCATTCGATCAGGTCATCAAGGAAGAAGACAATGCGACTACGTATTCCGTGGAGCGTACGTGGGGATTACCTGAATCGAAGTTCCATCCGGATTGTATCGAGGCTGTGAAGAAGGCAGCAGTGGGGTTAGTAGGTGAAGGTCAGGTTATGCAGATGAAGAGTAGAGCCGGACACGATAGTGCGTGGACCAGCAGGGTGTGTCCGACAAGTATGATATTCGTGCCGAGCAAAGGGGGGATAAGTCACAATCCGGAAGAGTATACGAGTCCTGAGCATTGCGCTTTGGGAGCACAGGTTCTGCTTGACGCGGTGCTGGAGTATGATGGGGAGGTTGGGCGAAAAAGAGACTAGCGTGTCAACGACGTCATCGATACTCTCCTACCTTTCACCCTTGCATCCACTCGTTACGCTCTGCAACTACCTTGTCGCAACGGTATAATGAGATTTCCCGTCTGTCGATTGGCGCAATTATCGAACTTCTCTTCACTAAGTCTGTATCCACCACGATTATCGCCACTACTCGCCAATTTCATCCAACCCCGGCAACTCCACGCATCCACCATCATGTCGAGTCCAGCAAAACGGAAAGCTGAGAAAGATATATCGCCACCGAAACCAAAGAAGACAAAGTCGACGACGAAGGCGAAGACTGAGATTCCCGCGTATCATCTCACTCCATCAAGACAGGACGAGTCGGGAGAGAATGTCTGGCCGGCGAGGAAGGAGCAAATTGAACGCGCGCGAGAGATTATCAGAGACTGGTACATTAAGACGCACTCGACGGATTAGATATCATGTGCTAATCTGCCACAGTGCTGAAGCGCAAAAGCCAACAGTTATTTTACCCGACAAGGATGCAGACGGACTTTCCTCTGGTGCCATGCTTCATCATACTCTCACCGCTCTAGGTCTCTCGTCTGATCTAATATCCGTTTACTTCCCACCGAAAGGCTCTAATGTACACGATGAAAGCACAAAGCAGGCTCTGACGGCCATGTCGCCCTCCTATATTTTCATCCTAGACCAAGGCAGCCGAAAAACACCGCCTGTCATCAACTCACCCCACACATGCCTCGTGGTAGACCATCACTTTGCAGATGAGGGCGGATTCCCGGAAGGAAGCGATTATGTGACTGCACACGACTGCCCACCTGTGGCAACCAGCGCACTACTGACATACACAATCTGTCTCCCACTCCACCCTGACCTTCACGATAAGATATCATGGTTAGCAGCATTAGGAACACACGGTGATCTCGGAAGCAGCATTAAATGGGAACCCCCCTTTCCAGACATGGTGGCAACATTCAAGCAACATCCTAAGAAGTCCATCAACGATGCCGTGGCTTTGGCCAATGCACCACGTAGATCAGCAGCATACAATGTGCAGGATGCCTGGGACGCCGTCATCTCCGCGAACAGTCCCGGAGACATCTCGCAAGCCGACAAGCTGAAAGATGCAAGCATGGAGGTCAGACGGGAGACCGAACGCTGCACTCACACAGCCCCGAAGTTCTCTGCCGATGCTACAATCGCCGTTCTGACTATATCAAGCGCCGCGCAAATACATCCCGTGATCGCGACACGCTGGTCCGGCACCCTCAAGTCCAACAAACTAGAAATCGTCATGTGCGCAAACGAGGGCTACCTCCCCGACAAAGTCAACTTCTCGTGCCGCGTTGCAAAATGCGCGAGAGCGCGCGAAGGGGAGGAGAAGGTCGACATCATCAAGAAGCTGGAAGGCATCGTCGCAGGCGACGGAGAGTTGAGAAAACGGCTTGGGGAGAGCTTTGCGAGGGGTCACAAGGAGGCCAGTGGGGGGATTGTGGGGAAGAGTGAATGGGAAGAGTTTAAGAAGCTGATGGGTGTAGGGGAAGCGAAGAAGAAAATAGATGGGAAGAAGGAGGAGAAGCCGGCGCAGAAGAATACTCTGGCGAACTACTTCGGCAAGAAGGAGAAGAACGTCAAGGTAGAAGGTGCTTAGACTCTGAGCGGCGATAGCACACCAGACGTCTTCCTTCCTTCGAGAAGAACCAGAAGAACCAGCGGATCGGCATCTACGACTACGCACGGGAAAGGCGTCGAAGAAAGCCTGGTAAACTCTGCGTCGTGCGTGACGAGGATACCACTGGCGTCGATTCCGATATGGTTGCGATGCCAAACACTTCCTACGTTGCCAATCTGAAGCAATCTCGATTATGCCACCACGGAAGAGGCGTGAAAGAATCCGGGTTGGGGCCGCCTCGCATGCACTACGCTATCCTACGCCCAGACCAAGATTAAACAATACTCAATCTACTGAGATCGCAGTCGAGAAGAACTTGCACGGAGGAGTCGACGCTCAGGCCCATGCCCGTCCACCCTCTTTCTCCGCCATTGGCCTTCGTTACTCATTTCTTTAAACAAACTCATGGCGAAAAGGAAGAAAACAGCTGTGGGTATTGACACGCTCAAAACCAATGATGGATGTTCTAGCGTTTTTACACCGTTTCGAATTAAATACCGACTAGCCTGGGGACCGGCTCCAGGCCCAAATTGCCGAAAGATCGGCATCCTCGATCAGGAACATAAGAGGATCATCACAACGACCTTTCGAGACGCACCTGACAGCTCAGGCACAAACAATCGACAGCTTTACGCCAGAGCCCAAAGACACCACACCTTGGAACAGGTTAGATGCCAACGCTTACATGAAAGCCTCGCGCCGACCAAACGCAGCCGCCCCAGTGACCACCATGACGCACATAATATACAACCTCCATATAGCCAAGCACCACCGTTGCAGTCCGAAACCCAAAAGCCCGCCCCCATTGCGCCATGTGACATCGGTACCAAACCACCAATGCCGTGCCCAATCAGGTAAAACGCTGAAACCTGGGGGCGACATGGCCCGCATGCAAGTTCAAAATCTCCTCCATCTACACTCGCCGCCTCCGCTTTCCCCCATCCCGGCGAATGAGCGTGTGTCGTGCAAATTGAGTGCTGACGGCTTGACGGGGCACGCGCTACCCGACAGGTGCCAAGGAAAGCTTGATGCTGGCGATGTTAATCTATCTAAGTGGTCGGGGCGAAAATGGAAGAAGATAGGTGGGTGGAGGCCACGAACGGGGTGCGGAGATGACGAGGGAGGAGTAGGTACAGCGGCCCGGGTGGATGTTAAACGTCGCTGTTAGATTGCTGTGGTGAAGTGTGCTACGGTGCGTGCATGACCAAAAGAATTGAAAGTGGTGAATAAATACTGAGAGTAGTGCCTGTGGTCGAAGGGAAGACTCGATACGAATCATCCTACCCTCTTTGCGCTTTCTGCCATCTCATCCCGCCCACAATTCAAAGATGAAGTACGCCACCGTTTTCCTCGCTGCGGCAGCGACCGTCTCGGCTCACTCGACCTGGCAAGAACTTTGGGTCGGCAGCGAAGACAAGGCTGGCACATGTGTGCGAACTGTCAAGGACAACAGCCCCATCACCAGTCTGACCTCTCCCGATATGTTCTGCGGACGCGGCCCAGCTTCTACATCTGGGGTTTGCGAAGTCGCTGGTAAGCTCCCTCGAGTTCATTTCAGAATCCTTTGCCCAGCAAGACAACATGTGATGGGGATATGATGATGTGTAACTGTATGAAATACTAACAAAAACCCCCACAGCCGGCAGTTCCCTAACCGTAGAAATGCACGCCCAACCCAACGCACGCTCGTGCTCCCAACCCGCCATCGGCGGCAACCACTACGGCCCCGTCTTCGTCTACATGGCTAAAGTCGCGGACGCCAAAACCGCCACCTCGGGTTCCTTCTTCAAAGTCGCTGAAGACGGATACACGGGTACAACAGCGTCCTGGGGCACCGAGATCCTCAACGCGAACTGCGGAAAGCGCGCCTTTACCGTGCCCAAGAATATTGCGAGCGGGGACTACTTGGTCCGTGCCGAGGCGATCGCGCTGCATGCTGGTGCGAATAACCCGCAGCCGTATGTCAGTTGCTTCCAGGTCAAGGTTACTGGGGGTGGCAGTGCGACGCCGAGTGGTGTTAGCTTTCCGGGGGGTTACAAGACTAGTGATCCCGTCTTTACCAAGGCGATTTATGATTCTAGCTTCAAGTACGTTAGCCCTGGACCGGCGGTGTACTCGGGTTGAGAGTGCGCGTACTTGGGTGCTGGGAGACTTTCGGGCGCCTCGTTTTGGGCCGTAGAGTTGTTGGCTTCCTTTTCATCTTTGTGAAGTAAGGACTTCAGGTAGCCTATGTACATATTGTCGTTAGCGCCATTGCAGAATGAAGAGGCTCATGTACATACTCGATGTAATCCGTTGCACCGCATCCGCAATCTCTTCGCTCGAGTCGATATTATCATCCAGCATCAGCGCCGCAGCGACATACTGAACAGGCTTAACCCACGGCCTCCCTTCCTCGTCATCCGGAGGAGGAAAAAAGACCCTATCAAATCTCGCAACCTGCCTGAAGGCATGTTCGTATTTGCCCCTCTTATTCTTGTAATCCTGCGATTCTTGGAAAGTTTCAAAGTCGAAGTCTGCGCAGTCTAATCCGTTGGGCTTGAATATCCCCGCGAGGGTTAACAGTTTTGTTGCTGATCTGGTTAAGGTGTTGCGATACGAAACCATTTTGGTGATTATCTTTAAGGCCTCGTCATTGTCGTCAAACTTTCCTTCCAGAAACTCTGCTATGCAACCGCTGATCCCTGTGTTTGGGGCTAGGTTCGATCTCCCCGGGAAGCTGTTGAGATATAATTCGCACTCGATCCTAAGGGCGTTGATATCCATCGTCAACGAATCGGGGCGTTGTTGGGGGGCTTCCATTGCCGTTTTGGAAGGGGATGATTGGTCTTTCTGTGGGGCTTGCATGGTGGAGGAGTGTTGGGCTCAATGGGAGAAGGTAGCGAACGGAGGTTCATATACCTCTAGTACGCTACCTCAGCCTTCGCGCTAGGTTGGCGCGTCTGAGACGGATTCTTGATTTTGAGTAGGTGTGATGTGAATGTCGGAGGTTGCGAGTGGCTCGTCTGCTCCGCGTCGCCACAGTACCATGGGAAGATGTGGATGAAATTGACATCAACCAACGCGTTGGGTAGCTTCGTAACCCACCAACACCATACCTCCCGATAGATAAAAAGGTAGCATTGTCATGACCTCCACCACCCACCCTGTCGTGAGTGGTTCGTCTATTCTGCGTCACCGCAGTACCGTGGGAGGAAGTGGATTCAACCATGTTACAGCCCCAATGTGACCTTTGTCTCCGCAAGTGTCCGCCCGTCGAAGCCAATGCCCGTGACTTCAATCTCAATTTCTTGCCCAATATACCGCTCCACGAACTTCTCGTTGAGAATGTGCTCAAATGCATGCGCCTTCGCCAGAAGCAGTCCTTTACTTCGAATTGTAAAGTGCGCGAACGGGCCGGTGATGTCGCTCCATGGCATATCCGTAATTCTGGACTTGCCGTTTTCTGCATCCTCGTAGTCCCAGCACAGCCTGACATGCTTGTTCTCCCCTTCACCGCGCTTTTCAACCCGTACTTCCTTGATCCTAAGAGAAGAACTCTCCGGTAAATTAGAACTCGGCGAGATACAAATCTCCTTGAAACCCACCAACCTCACAGGCCCACGTAAACTTCCCATCAACGGACCCTTAACCTGTATACCCAGCTCTTCTATCCTCGCTCCAGGTATATCATCCAGCAACCGGATCGGCTCTCGCGAATGATGCAACGTGTGATAATGCATCGTTCTACCCGATTTGAAGTACAAAAAAACCGTCATGTCCTCCATTTCCGGTGGTCTAGGATCTTCGTAGCTGTCTAGTACCATTAAGAGTTGTAAGGACCCATCGGCTGGCATGTCGAGTTTGGAGAGGGGAAGGAAGACTTCTACGTCAAAGTCTTCGGTTGGCTGTTGTGGGACGAAGGAGATGAAGGAGATGACTAGGACGTTGCGGTTGTGAGAGTGTTCTATATGGTGCGAGAGTGTGACGTCTTCGCTTTTGAGAGAGAGGCTGGCTGGACGCGGGAGGATGGATTGCGAGCCCAGTTGTGAGTGCGTGTCGCTGTTGTTGAATAGTTGTTTTGTGTCGTCATCGTGTGGAGAGAATGCGCGGGTGAAGTTGGTGTAGAAGAAGTGTTCTGAGCCTGCCACGCGCTCTTTGGCTGTATGTAGGATTGGAAGCTCTTTGTTTGGTGGATGACGCGATGTGCAGTCTCCGCAGGTGCACTCAATGCCCTCTGGTAGTGAAGTACCTTCCCAGACGGTGCGTACGACGTCCCGCTCATGGCCTGGAAAATGCTCGAACGACCATGCTGGTGCAAAGATGCCAACCGATAGACCCGTATCCGAGAGTCTGGCCAATGCGACCCCAGTGTTTGTACCACCGCCCCCATATTCAGGATATGTGACGCGAGGGTGGGTAAAACTAGACTTGTTCTGTGCCCAGACATCCACGCCAAAGTAGATACTCTTCTTCTTGCCTTTGGCGAAAGGGCCATGAAAGCCAGCGTACTGTGCGAGCTTCATTGATTCAGAAACATGAATATCCGTCCAGCAATAATTGGTGAGTAGGTTTTCGCACGCGTCGGCAAATTTGAGGTTGGAGCTGGTCAGCGCGTTCTCGTATGATATTTTGTTGGAAGTGGTGAGCGCATCATACCTGGGATAGAGTCATGTGTCAGTCATGGGTGGTAGCGGATGTGAGATTGTTACCATATGAGCCGTTTATCAACTCCTAGCTCGGCCCTGAGCTGGCGTAGAAACGCTTCAAGGACCTCTGGATCCCACACGTCGCTTGGAAACGGCTTCTCGATGTTTACGAGCCAGCCATCAAAGCCGAAGTGTGTTGCAATGGAGGCCAACTTCTTCGCCATGGGAAACTTCATCTCCCCAGACTCTTCTGTCGCATGCTTCAACAGGCGTTCCGAGCCTTCAGTTTGCGGTTCAATCAAGAAGGTGCCCAGCGCTTCCACACCGTTTCTGTGGAGCGTATTCGTCCATGATGGTGGGGGCACACAGACCAGCTTATGAGAGAAGTAGACAAAAGTATCAACAAACTGGAGATATTCACACGAGTAGAGTTCCTTGTCCACACCGATGGCCTGCACGCTTTCGTAGTCATGGTAGTTGCCAGAGTAGTCATGAATCAATAGAACACCAGTTTTGTAGTCGTCGGTCGGAACTCCACCGGTGGCTCGCAACAACGGCGTATTGGCTCTTTGTAGAGGGTCAGAGTCAGCCTCGGTCCACGATTCCAATTGATCAAAGGTATCGAAGTAGGCGAAGCCCTTCAGTCGATCTAATGCGCGCTGATGGCGTCTCTCTTCCGGTGTAGGTCCCGTGTCCGGGGTGGGAAACAGATGGCGGTAACCATCGCGGATCGGCCTGAGGATATCCTTCCACCCAAGAAGATAAGCCATGTCTTCCTGCTGGTGAAAGTGGTGAGTGTATGGCGACAGTGGTGCGAACTGCTGCGGGAAGTAGCGGCGATCGGGATGACGTTGGCGGCAGGGGCCTGTCTTGGCGTGCAAGGCTCCACAGCTCCATCCCTACGTGAAGCAGCTGGCGGAACGTGTCTTTTATGTCAGGCACTCAACAACCACCGCCCACCACGCCTCACGTCGCCAAACCACTGCCGCTCCTTTCGCCGCGACCAGCGACCTACGCACCGCCATGATGAACCTCTTCCGACTGCTGGGTAGGCCTCGCGACACCAAATGATGCTTTGAGTATGATGTGCTAACACGGCTTAGGGGATTTGTCCCACCTGCTATCCATCCTGATTCTGCTGCATAAGATGAAGGTGTCGAGCGTACGTCAATCTGAGTTGCACACGTAATGCGCCGCATATACTGACACAGCACAGAGCGCGTCTGGCATTTCGTTCAAGTCACAATTCCTCTATTTGATGGTCTATCTCACGCGTTACGTCGACCTGCTGTGGACCTTCTACGAACCCAAGTCGCTCTACAATACCATTTTCAAAATCATCTTCATCAGCACATCCGCCTACACCGTCTACCTCATGCTCAACGACTACAAGCCGACGCACGACCCCAATCTCGACACGTTCAAGGTGCAATATCTGCTGGGAGCGAGCGCGGTGTTGGCGATACTGTTTCCGTACAAATACACGTTCTCTGAGGTGGGTAGCAGCAGGACTTGTAATGGAAGAGGAAGGTGCTGACTGAAATAGATTCTCTGGGCTTTCTCCATCTGGCTGGAATCAGTCGCCATTCTGCCCCAGCTCTTCATGCTGCAAAGGACCGGCGAGGCGGAAACGATCACGACACATTACCTGTTCGCGCTGGGTGCGTACCGGGCGCTGTACATCCCCAATTGGATCTACCGCTACTTCTTCGAGGTGCCCAAGTTCTACGACCCGATCGCAGTGATTGCCGGCATCATCCAGACGATCCTGTACTCTGATTTCTTCTACATTTACTACACCAAGTACGTCCCCAACCGCCGTTGAAGGCGCATCAACATGCTAATTGAACATCCAGGGTTATCCAAGGCAAGAAGTTCAATCTGCCCGTATAGACCGCGCGCGCATGGACGCTGCTCCCTTCTGCTGTTGGCGGCCGAGTTCGGTCCTACTCTGCTTCGTATCTGGGCATGATTGTGTTAGGTGGGCGTTTTGTGGCATTTTTATGGAAGGAGGCAGCCTCTGATAGTTGGCTGGTTGGGCGTTGGACGAGTTGGACGACATCACACGACGGGTGGATGGGCATGTAGGAAGATACCTTGAAATGAATAGACGTGAGATGGTCAGAGGACTGTATGGAATATGCAAGCGATAAGGCTGAGACAGGAGAAAAGCAGTGCATGCATGTGCGCCACCGACTGCAGCCTCGAGGCATCAAGGGGAGCCGAATGCTTGCCTGGAGGCGCACTGCCAATCAGCGGACGCTAATTCGGCGGCCAGGACTCCGCACCATCCATGCATCTCGCAGCCGTCAGCCCTCTTACCTTTGATACTTTGTTATCCTAATAAACCCTTTTGCTATTTCTTCGTCCGCTCGCTGTTTTCACGTTGCCCATTCGCCTCGCCGACTTATCGCATTAGTCAGCGCGTTCACGTCCGCCCGTCGACGATTATCGCCTCCGCCTCAGTTATCGCCGTAAAGTGCGCGCCTCACACGACACCAAACATACGTCAGGGCCATTAGGGCTGCAGCGTGCGCACGCGAGGCTCCCTACCTACACACAACCACCGTCACACCCACAACCCACCAACCCGCCATGTTCTGCCTCCGCAGCTGGATCCCCGTCCTGTTCTTCTTGTAAGCACCCACCCACCCCCATCTCCCTCCCACTCCACGCGCATCCCCTCCCTAACACCTCCCCCACAGATTACGAACGCACGCCTCCCCCGTCTACCTCGTCCTCTTCATCTCAGCAACCTACTTCCTAAACCGGCCATGCGTGTACTGCTCGCTCCTCCTCTTCATCCTCGTCGTCGCCCTCTTCGACTTCCACACCCCGTGGTTCGATGCGCCGCTGTCCGATAGCGCGGAGCTGGCGCTGAATGGCACGGTTGCGGAGACGGCGGGTGTGCTGGCGCAGGCGGCGAATCATACGGCCAAGGCGGTGGTGAGGGGGGCGGTTGAGGGGGTTAGGGGGAGGGTGGGATTAGGACAGGGGAGTGAAGGGCAGGGTTATGAGTGGGTTAAGGGGTTGTTGGGGAAGAAGGAGTGGAGGATACAATGTTTGGATGTTTTGATTAGGGTTTGAATGGAGGGGGTGGATTGGGGATCTGGGGGTGCGGGTCTGCAATGTAGAGGAGTGCGAGGCGTTTGTGGCTGGTAGGCGTGGTGGAAAGGATACTATCGCATGGCTGGGCGTATACTGAAGCATTTGCAGGCGTCAATGGCATACCACTTTCAGGATTGATATTCATCAGCTTGTGCGTGATACACATGCTTCGAGCAGATGGAGAGAGGAGGGCACTGCAGACCTCGGGGGACAACGCGCTTCAACCATCACAACGCACACATAAAAGAACAGCAAGATGAAATGCCGTCCCAGCATCGTCGCATCTGCATCTAGATAAATGCACCCAAGACCCCGCGCAAAAGCCGAACGCAGGGATTCAGCCTAGGTGGGGCGCTTCGGCGTGCCGCACGCGCACCTTCCCCTCTAAGCCTACACGCATCATCTCATGCCAGTCCAATTGAAACATAGACACCCCTCTTTCCTCTTTTGCTCAAGCCTGTTCCCTTCACGTTCCCTGGCCGCCTCCCCCGCGGACCTTCACTCTGGCTACTCTACTGACTTCCGCGAGACTCTGCTCTCGACAATTGAGGTGTAGAGCTAATCCTTCGACGCGTCTGTATTCTGCTTTCTCTATCACGCAGTCTGCTCAACGCTACTTACTTTCACCGACCCACCTCACCCGCTCTAGAAGCTTCTCTTCTGCAGCTAGAGAGCTTGATTCTGCCCCACGCACCCAACTACGCCTAAGACCGAGGCTTGCCGTAGCAAACACAAACACGTTTGCAGCACAAAAGAGGTTCTGCCAGAGCGAAGTCACCAGCAGTTTCGTCAACATGGCTTCAGATCGCGATGTTCTCCCCGCGTGGTTAGTTAATCTCTCTTTCATATGGCTACGCTGACACATGCAGGGCCAAACCCTCGCACTACGCCCTCTCCCTCCACGACCTCGAATTCGGCGGCAAGTTTGCCTACAAGGGCACCGTCAACATCACCACCAGAATCACAAAGGACGATGGCTTCAGCACCCTCGTCCTCAACGCACATCAGCTCAAGCTCCAAACCGCCGAGTTGAAGGCCGGCGAGAAGACACTGTCAGCAAAGGACATCTCATACGATGAGAAGAGGCAACAGGTCACCCTCGATTTTGGCGAGAAGATCAGCTACACCGGCGAGGCTCAACTGGAGATCAAGTTCGAGGGCTTCGTCAACAACATCATGGCTGGCTTCTACCGCTCCAAGTACAAGCCCAAGGGCGACGTCCCCGCTTCCGTCGCAAAGGACGATGAGTTCCACTACATGTTCAGCACCCAATTCGAGGCCTGCGACGCCCGCCGCGCCTTCCCCTGCTTCGACGAGCCCAACCTGAAAGCCACCTTCGATGTCGAGCTCGAAGTGCCCAAGGACCAGGTCGCCCTCAGCAACATGCCCGAGAAGGAGATCAAGCCCAGCAAGCGGGACGGCTTCCACACTGTCGTCTTCGAGCGATCGCCCATCATGTCTACGTACCTGCTGGCGTGGGCGATTGGTGACTTTGAGTACGTCGAGGCTTTCACCGAGCGCAAGTACAACGGAAAGAACATTCCCGTCAGGGTCTACACTACCCGTGGTCTGAAGGAGCAGGGTCGTTTTGCTCTGGACAACTGCCACAAGATTGTCGACTACTTCTCCGAGGTCTTCCAGATTGATTACCCGCTTCCCAAGGTCGATCTTCTGGCTGTTCACGAGTTCTCACACGGAGCTATGGAGAACTGGGGTCTTATTACCTACAGGTGCGTCAAGTGCTTGAATAGGCTGGACTTTATGTTAACATACCTAGAACTACTGCCGTACTCTTCGATCCCGCTACATCTGCCGACAGCTACCGCAACAGGGTCGCTTACGTTGTTGCTCACGAACTTGCCCATCAGTGGTTCGGTAACCTGGTCACCATGGACTGGTGGAGCGAGCTCTGGCTCAACGAGGGTTTCGCGACATGGGTCGGATGGCTTGCAATTGATCATCTATACCCAGGTACGTCAAATCACCACTATGACAGGACTCTGCTAACTCCCACTAGAATGGAACGTCTGGGGACAGTTTGTCGTACGTCACAAATCTCGAGGTATCTACTACCAGCCTATTGACTATTTCTCTAGACTGAATCCGTCCAACAAGCTTTCGCCCTTGACGCGCTACGTACATCGCATCCCATTGAAGTACCCGTATACGACGGTCTCGAGGTCGACCAGATCTTTGACCATATCTCCTACCTCAAGGGTTCCTCAGTCATCCGCATGCTGAGCGCTCACCTTGGCGAGAAGGTCTTCCTGCAGGGCGTTGCCGACTATCTCAAGGCCCACCAGTACTCCAACGCCACTACCAACGACCTGTGGTCTGCCCTGAGCAAGGCGTCTGGTCAAAACGTCAACACCTTCATGGACCTCTGGGTTCGCAGGATCGGTTTCCCAGTCGTCACCGTAGCTGAAGAGCCCGGTCAGATTGGACTGCGTCAACAGCGCTTCCTCCTTGCGGGTAACGTCAAGCCCGAAGAGGATCAAACTACCTGGTGGATTCCGCTTGGCCTCCACTCTGGCGAGTCAGCTTCCAGCGCGTCTGTTCACGAGACCACTGCTATGACACAGAAGGAAGACACAATCCGCAACGTCAGCGACAGCTTCTACCTGCTCAACAAGGACCTCACTGGCTTCTATCGCACCAACTACCCTGCGGACCGCCTGAAGAAGCTCGGAGAGGACCGCGATCAGCTCACCGTGCAAGACAAGATTGGCCTCGTTGGTGACGCCTACGCCAACGCGGTGGCAGGTTACGGCTCCACCGCTGGTCTCCTCGCACTGGCAGAGCGCTTCCAGGACGAGTCTGACTACCTTGTATGGTCTCAGATTCTGACCAACATTGGCAACGTCCGCAGCGTCTTCTCCGGCAGTGAAGATATCAGCGAGGGACTGAGGAAGTACCACCTCAAGCTCATCACGCCAGCAGTCGAAAAGGTCGGCTGGGAGTTCAAGGATGGCGAGAACTACCTCGTCGGCCAACTTCGCGCCAGCCTCATCCTCTCCGCCGGCATCGTCGGCCACAAAGCCACCGTCGACGAGGCACTCAAGCGTTTCGACGCCTACATCAATGGAGACAGCAAGGCCATCCACCCCTCCCTCCGCCGCGCCGTCTTCGCCACCGCCATCAAGAACCGCGGCGAACCAGCCCTCAAAGCCGTCCAAAACGAGTACCTCCACACCACGTCCATTGACGGCAAAGAAATCTGCCTCGGCTCCCTCGGCCGCGTCCAAACCCCGGACCTCGCAAAGCAAGTCATGGACTTTGTCTTCTCCGACGCCGTCGCCATGCAAGACAAGCACAGCTCCACCATTGCCCTCGCCAACAACTCAAAGGTCCGCCCGGAGGTCTGGCACTACATTCGCGATAACTGGGACTCCAAGGTGCATCCTGCGCTTGCTGGTAACCCTGTTGTGCTGGAGAGGTTCCTCAGGTTTGGGTTGAATAAGTTTACGGATAGTAAGGTGGCGGATGAGATTCAGGAGTTCTTCAAGGGCAAGGATACTAGGGGGTATAATAAGGGGCTTGAGGTTGTGGATGATACGATTAGGAGTTATGCGGCTTATGCTGAGAGGGATGCGGGGGTTGTTAGGGAGTGGCTTGGTGCGAATGGGTATGCGTGACTTAGTGGGAAGATGTGATGCGCTTAGATATACATGAGAATATGGGACTCATGTGATATGATAGGATTCTATATGAATTGGAGATGTTAGATGTCACCTATACATGAGCATAACCACTCACAAAACGGCACTCGAAGCTTCGCCACCACAGTCCAAGTCCGGCGTCTTTCTAGGCGGGAAAGTTGCTTCCCACAGACGAGCGACGTCCAGGAGCAGACCTTCTTGGTACTTGGAGCCAATGAAGAGTAACCCGAACGGCCGCCCATTCCAATCAAGATACCCCAATGGAAGAGTCACCGAAGGATATCCTGTGAAAAGAGTGAGAAAAGCTCGCGAAGAGACATGGCACACACCTACTGGCTACAGCCAGCACGTCAGGTAGGCGGCTATCTGCTGGACCGATGATAACATCGACATGGTGCTCGCGCAGCATCTTATCGGTCGCATCATCAGCGGCCGATGCGGTCGCCTTCACATCCAGACGGTCATACTCTGCTTCTGTAAGCGAGTTCGCATCTTCCAGACTTTGAATAAGCTTGTCTTGTCTCGGAGAAACTAACGATAGCTGGCTTTAGCGGTGAACAGAAGATGAGAATGGCATTAACGGGCTGTCTTACAGGCTGGTAGTTCGATTTCGCAATGTTCTTCGTTGAACTCGATCAGTTCCGCAAGGGTCTTGACTTTAGGTGTGTCCAGGCCGTTTGTGTAGGCTTTGAAGAGGGTGGAGAAATCGTTTTCTGGGGATGTGCTTAGTGGGGGTTTCTTGTATATTTGGTGTTATTGAGCTGACTGATTGTGGACAAGACGTCGTTCATGCTTTCGTCTAATGTTGAGGCGGAGATCAGGTCGACGGGGCCGACGACGCGTTTGGCTAGGGTTGAGATCTTTTTGTAGGCTGCGAGTGTTTCTCGTATCTGCTCGCTGAGTAAGTTGCTTTCCTGTCTGGAAAAGAGGTAGACTTACGATCTGATCCAACGCTCCATGTTGCGGCTTCTGAACCTCTTCCGATAAACGCCAGTGCTTTGGATCCAAAGTCCCGAAAGAAATATCCTTCCACCCCCTCAAGACCCCAGTCCCATACCCTCTCTCAGGCACTCCCGGATGCGTCACATCCACAACAACATCCAGCAAACCAACAAGATCCTCCACACTCTTCGCCATAGGTCCAACACTATCCCTATTCTTCGAAAACGGAAACCCCCCGTGTTCCGATACTATACCGGGTGTAGTGCGGATACTGTACAAAGCAGCACGAATAGCTGGATTCGTGAGAGAACCGTTGAAGTCGGCACCGATGGAGAGGGGGGCGAAACCTGCGCTGACGGCTACGGCTGATCCTGTTGATGAGCCGGAGGGGTTCTGTGAGGGAGTGAGTATTGGGGTAGGGGGAGAGGGCGGAGAGGTTTTACTGAGTGGCCGTAGATACCGTCGTTGATGACACCTCCGCGTACGTAGGCGGATTGCGTTTGACCGCCGCGTGCAGACCAGCTGCCGCTCATAACGGACCCTCTGCAGAGGTTTATTAACAACGTTCCGCGTTTCCGTACTTTACTCACCTCCAGTTCCCGAATTGCTAGGGGAGTTAGTTCAGGATCTCGAGAAGACGAGCCAAAACGTACGGAGAGATTCGCCTTCCCCATCAATATCAATCCAGCACCCACCGCCATCCCAACAACCCTAGCAGTCTCTCTCGGCCTCGACCCCACAAACGCCCACCCACCATTCGTAGATTCAAGCCGGAACTCGCTCGACGTGTCCATAGCATCCTTTCAATCACGTCAGCGATTTCAGGAAGGACATTCATGTACACTCACCTTGACAATAAACGGTATACCATGCATCCCACTCCTCACAACCCCCCTCCTTCTTTCATCATCCAGCTCAGCCGCAATCGTCTCCAGATGTGGAAGCGGCGAAATCGATATCATAGCCTTGAGTCTGTCGTTGTGTTTGAGGATTTGGGTGTGGTATTGGCGTACGAGATCGAGGCTGGTGATTTGTCCGTCGCTTAGTAGACGCTGTAGCTCACTTGCTGTGATGGTCAACAGGTCGGGTTTCATGTTGGATTTAATTCGGACAACGTGAGTGCGAAGAGACTCCTCTCTGGATAGCAACAGAATTGAGGCGAATAAGACAGACTGAGGATCTGCACCGATGAGCTTATCGGTGGAGGAGCGGCTACTATCAAGGTACCTAGGGCGTGGACCCGTGGCTTCAGGGCAAAGGGTCGCCCTTACTCTAACCCCACGGAAGCTACGTTCAGTTGGCTTGACTAACTGTGTTAGCAAGTGATTGGGTTAGCATACCTGGGTAGAGATAAATGGCTGCTTCGCCTCGAGTGTCATCACTAAGATGAGATTCAACTAAACGATGAACACAATAAGAACTTTGACATCTACACGTGAGGACATACCACGTGGCAGATGAACAGGTACCCTGCAGAGTACAAGGAGAAGTGAACGTCATGTCAGCTGTCATGCCAGGTCAAAATAGACATCAAATCAATACAGTTTTCATGGTGATGGTTCAGGTGGTTATTCTTCGCTGACTATTCACTATCTATTTCCCTCTCTCTCAGAGAGAGGGGTAAAGAACAGAAAACGGACGGCTACTGCTAGGACAGCGGAGAAGTGGCACGATATGTCGATGGCGGAGTCAGCTTGAACTTACACGTGTAGGTTGAAGTCAGTTCCGTCTACCACCCAGGCTGCCACGTGGCAGCTTACACTGATCACCCCTCTCGATCACCATAGTTCTCCGATATACTTGTCCTGTCATCCCCCTTTTCCGGAGTTCCGATCACAGCTCCTCCAAATCCTCATCCCCCATGTCGAGGGCGGGGAAATCGCCGGCCTCGCAGCGTTCAGGTCGCACAAAGACGCCGTAATTGCTGGCGCACTCAAAGTATCGCTTGCCCTTGACGCTGCCATCGTTCTTGCCTGTCGGTTCGTCGAGGGTGACGCCAATCCAGACGCCTATACCCGGTATCTCAGGGACAAGGCCAATATAGGAGATGGTTCCCCGACGCGCATCTGACTCGGGTAGGAGGCGAACACGACCGTTTACAGAAAGGCCTAATAAGGGTTTTGCGTTAGTTGAATCGATTCGCTTCGCAAGTATACATGCGGTAAAGGAGACCAAAGTGTAAGTATGAATGCAGCCAGGATAATCGTACGAGATCAGCTCCGTTCGCTGTTCAGTGGAGCCCAACCTATCGGACCCTCGTATCCGTCCATGGTTTGGGCGTAGACAGGAGGTATACGCGAAAGCGAGCAAAAGAAGCAAACCTGTGCCCAGGCGGAACGGAACAGGTAAGTGGACAACAACGTCCCGACGGCCGGGCGGGCAGTTTGGCAACTAGCATCGCGTATGCGCGGAAACCCAAGATCATTGCACGCCTAATCTGTCCCTCATGCACACCGATCACATCTTACTCGAGATGTGGTGGCGACAGCGAGGCTCAAGCGGGGAAGGCGGCCTGATTGTTCGAGACAGATGCAGGCGCTGCCCAATGCAATGCTATAGCGAGGCAGTGATGCGCGAATATCGAGGCGTGGTGCGGCGTTGGATCCATCAACACAAATCTCCAACACATCCTTCGGGGATAATGGCATTCAGCGGAGTAAACGATGCGTAACGTGCTGATGTGTTTTGGAAAGCAAGGAAAAATGCGGGCCGCGCCATCCGAGGATCTGGTGCCCTAAACCACCCTGACGATCTCGCTCGGGCGAGCAGGAAGAGGGAGATTTCAGGAAATGGACCATGTCGTAGTCGAAGTGTATTACCGAGAGACTTGGTCGACGAATGAAGCTGGAGAATGGGGAGGATAATGAGGCTGGGTGGCAAGGAAGGCGTCGATCGCTTATTTTGAGAATTGAGTTTAGGGTTTCGGCGACTTGCACCCTTTGCCGCTGCCCGGTCCCTGCCAGAAACGGGTAACCTAGCGGAGCGACGACAGTCGTTGGAGGACGGCAACACTCGAAGCGATTTCCGAGTGTTAATCGGTTTACTATGGCATTTGCCTAACGGATGTGCTTCCAGCGCCATACGCTCGGCTGTGGAGGTCTGGGCCAAGGGTTGGATGCAGGGGGCCGGAAAGGGTAGTCGTGTATGACGGGTTTGGTCAGAGGATACTCGGTATGCGAGATTGCCTTGCCTGTCGCTCAGATGGCCTTGTCGGAGGGTAATGACAGGCTGAGACATAGTGAATCCTGTTATGATGAGGCGGCAACCTTGGAGGTATGCAGCAGTCCGGTTTGGGAAGAGTTTGAAGCATCTCCGGTTTGCACGTTGGAACGACATGGATGACTACAAGGCTGCAATGCGATGGTTGATGTCCGGGTTCCGGCGTTCGCTCTGCCGCGCAAACGTACGGCTCAACGGTGTGGGTGAAACATGCGGGAGATATACGGCTTACCTCGTTCCTCTACCTCCCGTTCTGAGGCGCGGATCTTTTGCTGCTCGATGCTGCCAGCATCGGGGTCAAAACGACCCAGCTTTTGCGCCTTCTTCCATGCAAGTACGCTGTCGGTCCGATGCTCGTACTCAGCAGCGGGCATTTCGTACTTCTCAACGGACGACAGGTCGGTGAAGTCCGTCCTCGCACCCGGCGGACGAGTGTCAACGACCTAGACGTGGCTGTCAGCTCGGGAGCATGTTTGCGAGGATTCATTTGCTCGGGGATGTCAGTTGAGATTGCTCTAGCAAGGTGGCCGGTACAAGGGGTGATTCATAAGGCCATGTAAGGCATTGGAGTAGGGCCGAAGCGCCGAAAAAGAAATGGCAAGACAGCAGCGAAAGGCTATCCGGTATTGCGAAAGTTTATGTCGTCGGTATTGAATGCCGAGTGCCAGCAGCGTCCCGGCGTGCCCAACGCTTGCAGACGATCTGGTAACTCAGATGAAACGAAGGATGGCTTCCGCGCGGATCGCGTGCCAAGGCGCAGCAATTGGGAAGAGAGGGGCAGTGCGGGGCATGCGAATATGCAGGCATGACCTGACTGGAGCGCGCAGCCTCAACGTCGGACCTGACAACGAATGGGGCAGTCGAGCAGAGCGACGCATGAAACTGCTAGGCGTGGGTGTAGAGTAGATACAAGGAAGTAGAGAGGCGAGCCGGGGTGGCAGAGATGTGGCAGCTCGCGAGAGGACGGCAGCGTCGACACAGCCAGGACAGGGCTGCGGCGGGCGTGCAATGAGAAAGCAGAAGAAGCACTTACGGTTATCTCCGCATACGGCTGCAGCGGAAAGGCAGCAAGACGCGTCTGTTCCTCGTCGGCGGCCGTGAGGGCGACGGCATCCTGAGAGCCCACGCGCAGCGACAGCTGTTGACTGCTGGCGGGCACACCGGTGATGGGCTCCAGGCGGGCCTTGAGCTGCGCAATGGACCACGACGGCGATATACGGCGCTCAGAGGACGAATTGGGAGAGCTAATGAGAAGCGGCACGTCTGCCGCGCTCTGGAGTGACATGGCGAGCGAGGGGCAGAGCCGAGGTGCACTAGAGGGGTAATGTATGTATATAGGAGGACTCTGCGCTGTTGGTGGTGGTGATGGTGTACGGTTGACAGGTGACCCGCTCCGTATGCGGGATGGTTACGAGTGGTGTAGGGCCGAAGAAAAGCATTGGAGAGGTTGCGCAGGGCCGTATCGAGTATCCTAAGCGATGCCAAGGCCGTGGTTGTCAACCACAGTGAATGTCTCAGGACACGGCGGACACGGCGAACCGCGACGAACGCCCACCACCCACGCACCCCACGCCTCGAACGATGTGAGATGCGTGGGACAGTATCTACCCACGCCGTGCGCTGGCATCGTTCGCGCGTGGGCGGTTATTTCTGATGATCTTCGTCGAGGGAAGGCCTGCTCCGGGTCGAGCTGCCTCATCCAACTAATGCAAAACCATGCGCTCGTCAGCCAAGACGTGGTGATTGCACTTGATCAGATGCAGATGTCGGTACTCGACGGCTGTCTGCGGGCGCCTGCCAGCACCCCATCATAGCAGCCAGCGTCAACGAGACAAGTCATTTCCTCCAATGCCTCCAATACCTCCAACTAACTCCAACTGGGTCCTTCACCGCTCTTGTATGCGATGTATGCAATGCACGCGTCTGTAAATATAGAGTGCTGCGCCTTATAGATTCATGTGTCCAGAGGCTGTGGCACCTGCAAGACAGCTGCAAGAGACAAAGCACCCCCCGAAGCGGCAGATAGAGGCGATAGAGGCAGACTCGACCAGACTGACCAGGGCTGCGGAAGTGCAGTTCGCATGCCGTCGGCGCGGTCAGATTGTGTGCTCGTCTGGTCTGTGGGGAGTCTTTTGATCCTTCAATCACTCAGCAGGCCGTGGGCGCCGCCGAGGAAAGGCCCTTTGCCCTAGCGCTGGCCAGCGCACGGGGATGGTTCATGGCTAATGCACCTGCATGTCGGCTCCCACTGGCCCAAGGGCCTGCTATATCCAACCTCATTCAAAACATCCATCCAGTTCGGCCTCTCCTCACC